AAACCCGGCAGCCGTGCTTCTGACTGTCAGGGCGGTCAGAGCGCGGCGCGCGGGGCTGTGAGGTTGGGCCCCCACGGGCAGGGGGTGAACCCGGAAACCGCCCCCCACCGCTTGCCCACGGGCCGCACAGAAATGACAGAGTTACAAAAGAGTAGCTAATAAGGCAAATCTTTAATCCACGTGAACAAAAAAAGGATTGTGTGTCTCTCTCAGTGTCAGTGTATCTCCCTTCCACACTAGCCAGCCGCCTGCTTTGAAAAGGAAAAGCTGGAAAGCCGTAGAGGCCCTCCGTATCTCATCATTGATTATTACTGAAAAAGGGTTAGTAACTCAGGGCTCTTCACCCGTGGGGTGGGGGGCGGGGAGAGGAAGTTCCTTATTCCAGTATGTTCCTGTTGTTAGCAGACTCCCAGTGGTAGAGTTTGCTTTAAGCGAAAAGCTTCCTGCTGAGGACTTCTTCAACAGAAAAATGTCTTCAGTGTGACTGGCTGAAAATGGAGAAGAGCTATAAAGAACCCTCCTCCTCCTTTGATGAGCATTTTTTACTGAAAAAGCGGAAGTAGCTCAGGGCTCTGATGTGAATGAAGTAGGAACTTCACAGACACAGAGCAGTAGCGTTTGCTTTAAGCTCAAAGCTTCCTGTGAAAGCCTCTGGAAAAAAATAATTTCTTTGGTGCAATTGGTTGAAAACCAACTATATTTGAAAATCAGTGGGTCCCTTGTAGAAAAGATGTTTCCTGAGTTACTGAAGATTTTTACCCTACTAGAATCTCTCTGTTCCATAGTCTCTAGAAACCACCAAGAAGAAACTCCATCAACTCAGAGACTCAGCGACAGTAAGAGGAACCGGCGGAGTTCATAGCCGGAGAAAGAAAACTGTATGTACTAATTTCCTTTTAGTGATGATTCCATCTAGTGATATTTACATCCAAACTTGCATTTCACACTGCTGTGCCTAGCAGAATGGGACCCTGGTCCAGGAGTATGCCTCCGAAGCACTGTGGTAATAAAAACTACATTACATGTAGACCTGTTGTAATAACTGGGGCCAGACAGGCTTACACCAACTGTGGGGAAATGGCAAAAATTTTATAAAATGTTCAAGTCACCTATAAAAAATACTAATGGGAAAAGGTACAAAAGGGAAACAGACAGATCAGGTTACTCAAAACAAACAGGCCTGCTGATCTAACTCTAGGATTGTGTTAAAATCACGTCTGGTAAACAAGAGGTGTGTGTGGGATCAGAAATCAGTGGGGGAAGCTTTTCCACCCAGCCACAGTTTTAAGTTTGTTTTAGCTACAAATGAAGTGAGTTGTAAGTTCTTAGCTTTATTAACCTGGGAAGGGTTTAACTGTGATTTTGATCAAGTCTAATCAAACGAGATTTGTAAATCCTATAACTGTAGGATTCTGTTAAGATTGTGTTTGATAAACTGGAAGAGTGTGGGATCAGAAATCAATGGACCCAAATTGGTTAAGATTAATGTACGTACTCAGTAGCTGAAAACTCTGGCAAACTAGCAATTGTTATCCAAGTGTGTTTGAATTTGTTTGGGCTGGGCATGCAAAGCCATCTGCTAATGGTCTTCTTTGAAAAATCTGAGGGTTTTATCATTTTGTTTGATAGTTATTACTGGTTTTGAAATCTTTTTACAAATGCTTTGTTTCTTTTGTGTATCTTAAGGTTTGTAGTTTCTCTAACTGGTAATAACTTTGAACCATCAACATAAAGGCATTTTTAAGCAAAATGCAAAAGTGATAAGATAAAGTGTTTTAAATTGTTAAAGGTTAAGTTGCTAAAGCAAACTTCTGCTCAGACAACATCACGAGTAACTCTTTTTTAACTGAATGCCAACTTAATTCAAGGCTGCTACTGCATTGACTGTAAATTGAGATTCAAACCATTGGAAACGGTTGTTGCAGCCCAAAAGATTTTTGTGATTGGAAAAACAAAACTTGTTGGTGGTTGTTCTTGTGTATGTGAATTGGCGCAGTTCTGGTGATTCGGCTTAGATCTCTGGGAGCGGCGACATTGCCTCAGTAGCTGTGAAATGTTGGTGGGCGAGGTCTGCCATAGACTAAAATGCTGGTGGATTTTAACTACCTTTGGGTGTAGCAAATGGCTTATGGATGCACATGTGGCTAAAGAACATTAGCTGGCTGCTTCCTTTTAAAAAGGGGGAAATATATAGAGGTAAAAAAGCCATTAGGGCTTGTTAGAACAAAGGCCAAATACTCGCCTATTATCCCAGCTGTTCCCCATGGCCATAGCTCCATTTCCCATATATGAACGTATAGCAAGACAATCAATCAAAGAGGCCCAACAGATGTATCCTATTTACGGCCTAACAGATGTATCCCATTTACCCCTACCCCTGGAAAGCAATCAATCAAGGGGGCCCCAACAGATGTATCCTGTTTACCCCTAGAAAGGAATTTAAAAATTCCATAGGTCAGCAGAATGTATGCA